AGGAGATTAAAATGTAACAAACATTTTGAAATTTTATATGTAATTTACATATTTATATCTTGCTTTTCTCCCCAATGGGAATCCAAAATGACTTACAAGATCGTTCTTTTCTCAATTTTATCTTCACCCCAACCATGTGAGAATTTCCATGGTGGAATGGGGATTCAAACCTGGGTCTCCCAGATCCTAATGTAACACTAACCACTACAGAAATTCACAGAACAACAAATTAGTCTTTATCAGCAGAACTATGAATCTAAGGACTGTCAGGAATTGACAGTTCTCCAAATTACCACAACCAGCTATGAACCGCACAGCCCAAGGATATTAGAAGTAAGTGGTCTTTGGGGAAAACAGCAGTGACAAGTGGAAAAGGGAAATTGTTCCACCCTTTCCACCATGGAAAAGGTAGAAATGAAAGCTTCATTACCTTTCCACCCTGGAATCTATTCTTAATGAAGAGGGGGAATTTTGTTGAAGTTCTTTCTGTGGGAGGGGGAACAAGGACATGAAATTCCACAACAAAAGATTTCATTGTGAGACGTTGGCTAGAGAAACTAAAAAGCTGTACTTCAAAGAGTCCCCTGAACTGGCTTCTCTGTCAGAGGAAGATGATATCTTGAACGCACAGAGTGGCAGAGATCACAATGGAACATTTGTTACCAAAAAAGCACAGCTAGTGCATAGGACAGAAACACACTCCTCTCCTCACTCAGCGTGGAATAAAAGGCAGACTTGGTATGGCTGACTGAATCGATTTCTTGAATGGACCCCTTCGCTGTGTGAATAATTATCTACAGGGGAACACATTTCTCCACAGGTATTTGCCTGGCCCTATGAATGAAGAACGTACCATTCCTTTTTAACAGCTGAACCCCCTTCCCTAGGGGATGAATAGGAGGCAGTAATGGAAATAACGGAGGGTTGCTCTTGCTGAGCTTTCCCGGTCACAATGGGCCCCAGCAGGCTGCCTCACTCCTACTTCTCCAGCCTGCAGTGCAGCTCAGGGAAAGCTATTAGGCAGCTGACTCTTCCACATCTCTCCTCTCATTTACATTTTACACAAACAAAGCCACAATGAAAGGGGAAGATGCACTCACTCCCCTGTGCTTCCGAGTACTTAATTGCTGGAGCATGAAATGACAGCTCCATGGAACAGGAGTTCTGCCTCCACTATAAATTCCTTTCCAGAAGGTTATTTCCTACTGTTCTAGGAGGAGCCAAGTTCAAACTGCCCACTGCAGAAGGAGAATCACCTAAAATTCAAGTGTTTATTTCAACCTGAAAGATGACTGCAAAATGGAATTGGTGCAGACTGTGGTGAAACACTGTCTTCCTAGTTCCAACTGATGGGTGTGTATGGCACTATAAGGCAAATCCAGCCTGGTCAAGAAGTTCTCATGTTTGATCAAGACCCAGGGCCACATAGACAAATTGGTCTCCCTATTCATTACCCCTCCTTCCCTTGCATACCTCCATGCTACCGTATATCGCTAAACTGATAACCCCAGTTTTTAGGAGGGTTTTTATGCTTGCAAGGTTCAACCTTTTCCCTTCAGTAGTGGTCTCAGGTAGATACAGGGGTGTTCCGTACAGGGATAGACTTTGTAACTGTAATCTTGGGGAACCTGACTCTATTACCCATATCCTTCTCCGCTGTCCCAAATACTCCGTTATGCGCAATATCTTGATTCGCCCTTTTCTCCCTTCGCAGAGAGATTTTCTGGACAGAGATTTAAATATTTTTCTAGCAGACAAAAGCCCAGCAATAACACTATCTGTCGCTGAATTTTTGACCTATGTATGGAAGTCAAGAGTAATACTCTGTAATTCTTGTAAATCATGTTAGGATTGTCTTGTATTTTGGAATATCGGGAATATTGGTTGATGTTGTTCTTGTACTACCCCTTAAACTTTTCCTTGCCTGGTTTACTTATATGCCAATAAAGGTTTCTTGCCTGGTTTACTTATGTTATGCCAATAAAGGTTTCTGTTTTGTGTGTTGACAAATTGGTCTTCTTTTGGGTAAGCTTCCCTGTAGTTGCCAACCAGAACTGAACATAAGTTAGACAGTCATTGCAGTGTACTGGTAAAAGTGTCCAGCTGAGATTGGAGAAAATCCATGTTCAGAACCCTAGTCGAGTTACAAAGCCACACGGTGGTCCTGGGCCAACTTTTTTTTTTCTCTCTTTCTCTCTCTCTCTCTGCCTGATTTACTTCCAAGGGCTATTGTAAGGATCAAATGACAGCAGAGAGTCTCATGTGTGCCAACCTGAGCTGCTTGGAGGAACGGTGGGGAAAAAACACAGTAGAAAGACAGACAGATGGAACAGAGGCAACAAAAACAATGCAAATGATCATTTGACCCAATACATTTAGGATGCTCCAAAATAAGAAATAAATATTTAAAATATTTAAAAATAGGAAGCCTGGAAAGGCAAACATACACCAGCACTCCCTAGTAACAAAATATGGTAGGGAACCCAGTACCATGTAAAAATGGTTTCAGCACAAAATGGTCACAAATGCTGACCAATCACTCAAAAATACTACTTGCAGATCAACTGGTTCAAGTATCATACCTACAAGTGGTGGTGGAAAATGCCATCAAGTCACAGCTGACCAGGCCCGCAGTCAGGATTTATTTTGTCGGGGGGCACCTCAGCCAAGCCATGAGCCTCCTCACTGGGACAGCGCAGACAAGAAAGTGGAAGGGAGCCAGCCACCCATGAGTCCGGCAGGACAAGTGGCCAGCAGAGCATGGAATGCGCCCCTCCTCAAAGGGCTGCAATTCCTTCCCACCACTGGGCAGCGCACGAATGCAGCTTTGCCCTGAAAACCACCCCTCTCTTGCAAACAGGCAGAAACTATTCCCAGCAATGAGGCCCTTTTGCAGTGGCCAGAGCATTGTTGGGGCGGGGCTCCAAGGAGGAAATTTTGCGCTGCTAGTAACCCACTGTGTGCTTAGTTGTAACCCTTTGCAGGGCTGTAGGGCTCCCCCGTCCCCGCTGTCCAGATTCCCTGCTCTGCTGCGACAGGCAAGGGACTCCCTCTTCTGCCCCCAGCACTGCTGCTCTTTCACATGCCCTTCCAGCCCCAAACTGGCCCTGGCTGGATCTCATGTGGGGATGGCTGCACCGCTACTCCTCCTCCTCCTTACTACTACTCCTCCTTTTCCCTGGAGTCAGGAAGCAGAATGGCGGTAAGGGAACGCGGTGGAGTAGTGTGCCGCTGCACTTGCTGGCTCAGAGAGCCCCCAGCCAGCTTGGAGAGTGCCCAGCCACCCACCCACCACCTCTCCCTTTTAGAGGGGCTGGGTGAGGAAGGTGGTGGAGGAGCATGCCACTGTGCTCGCTGGCTTGGAGAGCCCCCAGCCAGGCACTCGCCCAGGAGGGTGGTGCAGACGCCTTTCCTGCAGCCGTGGGGGAAAGCAAGGAGAGGTGGCAGCAAAGTCATGGGGCCTTTGAAGTAAGTTGGTGCCCCGTCCCCAAATGCCCCACCATAGCTACAGGCCTGCAGCTGACTTATGGCAACCCCTGGTGAGATTTTCAAGGCAAGAGACATTCAGAGGTAGTTTGCCATTGCCTTTCTCTGCATAGCCACCCTGGTATCCCTTGGAGTTCTCCCATCCAAATACTAGCAAGGGCTGACCCTGCTTAGCTTCCAAGATCTGTTGAGATCGGGCCAGCCTGGGCTGTCCCGGTCAGGGCTATATCTTGACAGACTGGAAAACTGGGCTAGAACAAATAAAAAGAATTTCAGCGGGGATAAATGTAAAGATCTGCATTTAGGTAGGAAAAATCAAATGCATAAATTATAGGATGGGGGAGACTTGTCTGGGCAGTAGTATGTGCAAACCTCCTTCTTTGGAATTGCTGGCTAAGCGCCGTAACAATAAAATTCATTCATTCTCCTTCTTTGGAGGTTTTTAAACAGAGGCTAGATGGCCATCTGACGGCCATGCGGATTCTATGAACTTAGGCAGATCATGAGAGGGAGGGCAGGAAGGCATGAGCCAGTGCTTGGCTCTCGTGGCCCTTTCTAACATGCCCAGTGAAATGGTGATCGTCATTTTGGGGTCAGGAAGTAATTTTCTCCGGGCCAGTTTGGCCAGGGATCCTGGAGGGTTTTTTTTTGCCATCTTCTGGTCATGGAGCAGGGGTCACTGGGGGTGTGATGGGACGTAGTTGTGCATTTCCTACATTGTACAGAGGATTGGACTAGATGACCCCGGAGGTCCCTTCCCACTGTATATTTCTATGAAATCCTTCCTCTACATTATTTCGTCTTGAATAAGCCACTATCTCACCATTTCGGCTCCTTAACTATACAACATTATTGACAGGATTGTTGTGGCACTAAACATCAACAGTTCCCAAAAGACCTTAGCACTTTACTGTGTTCCAGAAATGATGATTAAAATACTAACAGGGTTATCAGATCTTTGACAGGAGAACTGACACAAGCTCTGGCTATAAAGGGACTCTAATATATACCGGAATTGTACAGAGGATTGGACTCTCTCTTAGCACATGATGATCTCTCTCTTCCTCCTGAGCGATACTAACCTGGTTTGCATAACTGACCAGGGGCTGAGTTTAAGCAGCTGTTCTGATTACTAAAATTGTCATCCAAATGGAAACAGCTTGAGAAGTCACCAAAGGCAGCACGCAGCAGCAAATACACCGTGTCCTCCATTCACTGATTAACATTTTAAATTCCATATTTTTACAAATTAAGTCTCAGAACCAGTGAATGGGATGGGATGGGAGAGGGGGAGCTGTTGCAGACGCCTCCCTTTATGCCATTGTAGGGCATGCACTGTCCCCCTGGAGCAGCATTCTAGGCTGTAGTAGGGAGGGGAGGGGAGGAAATTCAATCGTTCAACCTAAGTCCAGCCTAAGCATAGTCTCTCACAGAAAGCCCAGAGTATTTCTGTAAACAGAAGGGGGGAGGGAATCACTGGTCAAACAACTTGATAGAAGATGACAGGTACTTACTCAAAGTCTTCGAATTCCAGATCATTTCCTTCTACCGATGGTCCTGAAGCCTCAGAAGTGGAAGCAGAAGATGAGGAAGAACGGAGCCGATTTTGCTGATACCTCATGGAGCGCTGGCGAATACTATCTCTGCGCGAAAGATACTGGATCATTCTCTGGGCATAATAAGCAGCAGGAGATAACCTGAGGAAGTAAGGGAGAGTGTCATTAGCTTGCAAGCAAGCCTTGCCACATACAGTAGGTCTATCCCAGTTTAGGTTTGCAGCTTTACTGTTCAATTCTGTAGCTGGAAGAGAGAGACTTTCCCTAAATTCCATCTGAGGTTTTCTTTAACAACTGCTTTGTCATGATCTACAAATATGCACTTAAACGTTACTAGTTTTGGGTAGTAACCTTTTTTAGTACCATTCCAAACATGTAATTTTTAGAACTAGAACTGAGATGACCTGAATGATTAGTTTTCAAACCTTGTTTGCCTGGTGCAGGACACTTTCACTTGCTAGGAGAGGACAGGCATGTTTGCCAAATTCGTCCCTGATACTGCAGACCCCCACATTCACACCTAGCAGTGATTCCGAGCTCTGGGACAGCACTGAGGGTCACAGTGGGCTGCAACAGGGGAGAGGAAAGTTCCATTCCTCTCACTGAGCTCTGTTCATATTACACTGGGTCCAGCCAAAGCTTTTAGCCAACTGAACCCTTTTATACGAAATACTACTTTTTATTTTAAAAAAAGCGTTTTCCATATATTCTCAGTAAGTTTTTTACCATCATAGATGGGAAAGAGGCAGAAGCTGAGTGATAGTGGGTCATCTAAGGCCACCCAGTGAGTTCAGGCAAGAAGTAACATTTGAAGAGACAACTTCCTGGCTCACTCTCAGCCACTACAGTACAGTAGCTCTTCTCCTTTGGCTGCCCTGTTAGTCAACCAGCTGTTCATTTGTAGCTGGCGCAATTGCAATAATGTCTCCAACCCCTCCATGCGTATTTTCTCTTTCAGCTTCTTCCCAGCTAACTAAACCATTCATTCAGCCACCTGGATTTTTTTTCTGGCCCTTGTATAGTAGAAAGGTATTTCCTTTCCTCTCCACCTCATAAATTCAATAGGGGGGGGGGAGACGTATGTAGCTCTTCAGAGCGTAGATTAATTGCACTTTTCTGCAAGCAATTTTCAACAAATCCCCCCTGGGATTTCATATTTGTTGCCTCCAACTCCAGTTCAAACACGCTCATTTTACAAGTATAAAGTTGATTTTTCTAACCACTAGCATACTGTGTGATCAAGGTAAGGTACATCACTAGTAATGATTCCCTAAGGGAGCGAATAGGCATAAATTCTACAGAAAACTTGCTGTGGAAGCACACTCATCATAGTTGCAGCACATATAAAGCTCCCCCCCCCCAACGGAATCAGCTTTGGGAGAATGCTTTTTCTCTATCTGAACAGAAGCCAGATTTGCACAGCACAGACTGGCTGACCAAGCGCCCCCTTGCCCCCGTCACAGCATGCACACTCTGGCTGGCTCTTCCACATAACCTCAAGTGGCTAGCATTTATGAGAATTTTGAATTTCAATTAATCTAATCCTTTGTGCATCCATTTGAGCAGGCTTTTTGGGTCTGACGGCATTACACAGAAGATATCTTCACAATCTGAAGCAGGTTATCCCTCAAGAATAGTAAGTTATTTATATAGGATAACATTTGTTATGGTTTTAGACCGTCCTCCTCCTAAGGAGCTCATACATGGTTCTCCCCTCTGCCATTTTGTAAACAAAGTAAAACAAACAACTCATAAGGGTTTCCATATCTGCAATATAAAAACCCATAGATTGATACAACAGTGGCAGTACATGGATGCAGGTAAACAGCACTGAATCCTTCCTATTACTTCTTGGGAGGACCAGAAGGGGTTGATATAAAGCACTAAGTGAGTTAATTTATTATTGGCCAAGAAACATAAACATAACTCCCCCCCCCCAAGCAAAGTAAAGGTCTGCCTTTCAAAGTAAATAAAAAAGCTATTTAGACCACAGCAGAAACTTCAAACGGTTCCTCACTTGTCGTCTTGTCTGGTCCTTATAGGACAAGACTGCCTTTCATAGGCATGCTCTAACGCCCTCCCACAACCAAATCCATGGGTTTTATATATAAAACAACCACTGTATATAAAACAACCACTGTAGTACATGTAGAGAATATGATTCCCTGAAGATTCAGTTAACCGATGACACCCCCACCACAACCAAGCAGTCCTTCTCTCCAAACATTTTCCCCCAACCATTTGTGCCTAGAGTGAGGACCAGCGCGGGAGGGGGGGGACAACACACACCATGCGGGGAGGAATCAGGCCACCACTGTATTGATTACAGGATCCTGAGGTCTTGGAGCAGCATAGGCTAGGGACAATGAGTGCGATCGATAGCTCAACTGCTGTCAGAACTTTACCTAACCCACCTGTTGGTGTAACCAAGGGCAGAGGACTGGTGTTAGGGCTGGAGGCAGTAGAAACTGCTATTCCTAGCCATTACCATCTTCCTAGAGGCATAGCCAGCTCTGAAGTTGGCTGTCCTGTGCCCTGCCTTCTAGAGCCCCTTAAGGGCACATCCCATTGGGTCATGCAGGGAGCCTACCCAGCACAATCTGCAGTATGTTCCCAAGCAAGTGCCTAAATGCCGTAGAAGCCAAATATGTGCCTGTATATGTGGTCCTTCAGTTCCAGAGGACATATTTCATTATCTGCTATTTTGCCCTATGTATACAGAAGTCAGAACTAAATTTCTTCACAATCTGTTAAAGGGACAAAACTTTGCCTCTGACTTGGATAAATTGGTCTTTTTATTATCTGATATTGATCCATTTGAGTCTCACTTTTTGCCTTGGCTGCAAGGAAAATTAGGGCCAAGATCGCTGCTTCAGTAGATGAATCTGATGATTAACCGGATATATTTTCAAGGTTTATAATTTTACGGTATATTGATATTTGTAAACAACTGCATTTTACTTCTAACAATTTTAAAAACCATTCTTGTAATTATGTTTGACCACAATATTCTTAATCCCCTTTTGTGATGGCCTTTGGCTACATACAATAAATAAATGTATGTCTGTCTATCAGGAAAGAATGGGGGAGGAGGGGAGATGGCTGTAGGAAGCTAAGCAACAGGCAGGTGAAGGGTTCTGCACATCTCTCATGCATCCCCTTCACTGTTAAAAAAAGATCCATATCCCCTCTAACTGGTGCAGGTCCATATTTAGATACTTAGATCAGCAGACATTATACTCAGGTTTTCTTGGATGAATCAGGCTTCCAGGCTGGTTTTTGAACTGAAACTACTTTCACCATCCTGGTAAAAGACCTGTGTTGGGAGAGAAGGAGGTATGCCATTCCCCTCCCAGCATCTTCCACTACCACTGAACACGGTATCCTTCAGCAGTCACTATGCTTCAGTGGTTCTGCACCTATCCAGCAGGTCAGTGCTAGAGTAGTGTGGAGCGACCACAGCTCTGCAGAGTTCCACAGGATTCTTTTTGGACCCCTATATCATGACTTAACAATTCTAGGTGTCAGGTTGTAATTGCAACCTGAAGTCTGCTGGGGACAACTAAAGCTCCAGTGATCCTAGTTCCTGTAGGCGACGAGAACTAAAGTAGGAGCATTACATTTTTCCTGGGTTGTGCTTCTTTGGGAAAACATCCTCACACACCCCAAACATTTTGCAAGATGGAGTCAATGTCCAAAGTGGGATGGGAGCCCCCTCATATTTCAGGTTTGTATTTTGAGTGCACTGTGAGATTCTGCAGTGTTTATGACACATAATGGTGCGTGTAGCTCAGAACATCTTCAATTAACTTTGGTTAATTGGGTTGTTTCTGCAAAAGGTTGATCTTGCCACAGAAATTGATTCTTGAGTAAGGCCTAGGCTAGACTACAGTAAAGACATACACAAGGAGCTACTTCTGAAAAATCTTCAGAAACTTCAGCTTATCTGGAACAGGCTGCCAGGTTGTTAAAAGGAATTTTGCCATGGTGAGCATACTCCTTGGGTCCTCAAAATTCTTCACTGAGTTCCAGTATGTTTCTAGACAGAATTCAAAATGCTGATACTGACATTTAAAGCCATAAATGGCCAGAGCCCAAGATATTTACATGTCTGACTTCTTTCACATGAACCTGCCAGTCCCAGAGTTGGCACAAGCCCTGGGCTCCACCGCTTCCCCTGAGCCAAAAATATCTAGGATGATGGGAGCAGAAAAGGAAGGGAGCAAGACTCACTGGCTCCTCGCCATGTGGAAGACATTGAGGGACAGCAGGCCAGCACCCAAGCCAAAGCTGCTTGTGGAGGGCAAGAGTAAAGTGGAGCCTTCCCAGCGACAGCCAAGGGCCCTGCTTCAGAGCCAGAGGGTGAGTAACATCACTGGCTGGTGCTAGTAACAGGAGTCCGGCACCAGTCAAGGACCACCCCAATCCCATTCCTGGGGGCTGGAGAACATCGAGGCTGCAGTGGTGCCCTCAGTGGCAGATGCCAGGCTGGTAAGGCCCAGAGTGGGAGATGGCCAGAGAGGACAGGCCTGGACTAGTAAGATGGGGGAGGGGAACAGAGCCCCACCCTTTGTAAGGGCTGGATTCAACGTGATGGGGGGGGGGCCTGGGACAGACCTATAAATGGGAGACTCCCAGGAAGGTCAGGGAGAAAATGGGTTGTGGGAAGCTCCCCTTTTCAGAAGCAGTCCAGTCTGGCCAAAGGAGGACCAGGATGAACCTAAACCCCCATCCTTAACCCAGTCTGACGTTTGAGGAGGCCTTCCAAGGAAGGAGAGAGTCGATGGTGGAGGGCCAGCAGATAAGGGTCATGAGCAGCGTTCCCTCTAAGCTGAGTTAGTGTGAGCTAGCTCACGATTTTTTAGCCTATGGCTCACACATTTTTGTCTTAGCTCAGGAAGGATGGCTCCAGAGCAAATGAATCTATGCAGTAGCCAAATTGCTCGCTCACAACTTTAGTGCCAGTAGCTCACAAAGTGGAAGTTTTGCTCACAAGACTCCACAGCTTAGAGGGAACATTGGTCATGAGGGAGGAGCCTCACACTGCCTGTCAACAATTTGTCTTGGATGTCCTTTTTTAAGGTCCCCCTGCATTCAAATGTCTGTCAGAAAAACATCGTTTTCTGTCATTGTAGCCCAACTATGGAATACCTTCCCAGGGTATGGTCCATTTGTACAAACTTCATCCTCTTTTAGGTATTATGCAAAATCATTCTTATGAACCTGAGCCTTTGAAACTGACACTATAGTTACTTGGTTTTTTTCAGAGAGAAAGAGGAAGAATATGTGTACACACACAAATATGGGTCTTGGATGACCCATTAGAGCTGTTTGAGATAGATTTTTAGATATATTTTAACTGTCGATTTGTTGTACTGTGAATTTATGATGGAACCTGCCCTGAGCCTGCTTGTGGAGAGGGTGGGATAAAAATCGAATGAAATTTAAAAAAATAATACTTTTTTTAACATTTTTTTAATTTTACATACTTATTTGAAAAATAAGTAAATAAATGGCCCTAACTCTTTGTTCAGATATGGAAAGTTCTCAGTTACTTGCTTTAAGGACAATTCCTCAAGCTCAGGGAAGAAATTGTTCAGAATTTTAAGGAAGTTCTGCCAAGTCAAGATCTGAGAGATAGAGGTTATGCTAAACAAGTAATACAAAAACATTTTTGAAAGCTATAAAAAGGCAGATGACAGAACTACTCAAGTATGGACAGTTAAGGCAAAGGAATCAAGTGGTTATTCAAAATGGTCTCTCTAACGGGTTGTACAGGCATATGTTGGCATCTTAGAGGCAGCTGGTGGAATCAACTGATGGTAATTATAAGAAGACACAAACATCATATGGTTTTTGCTGCACTGCAATGCTTCAACACATAAAGTTAATGAAGGACCAAGAGCATGATGAAGGGCCAAATATGAACATTCCAAAAGGCCATTTCCCATGTAATTTTATGTTTAGTTGTGAAAGGTTGTTTAGGATGACAAATTTTAAGATCTCCTGTCTGTAGGTCAGGAAGACAGTACTCTTCAGCAGTATTGCCTTTAATCCCAAAGGCAATTCAAAAATAACTGCCAACAATTTTATTTGCAAATACTTTTATCACTGTGGTAGTCATTTATGCAGCTGTGATTCATTTTTCAACATTATGGCACTGGATTCCATCAGTAGCTACATTTTTAAAATCCTCATTTTCTCCACAAAAAAGGCATCCTTGCCTTCAATTCTTTTGAAAAAAGATTTAAACAGCAGTTTATATCAACTACTTTACACCCAACAGGTTTCATCTTTCCTTTGTATTGATCAGCCTACTTTTGCAGGAGGGTTTTCCCCCTTATAGATTCATTTGTATAAAGCCCATTTCATTGCTCTTATTACCTCTGGCAACATTAGGGGTTTTTTTTTCACTTAGCCATGTCTCTTCCTTTCCTTCCCTGCCGTACACCTAGTAAATAGTGTGGTGCTGCTTTTTTTTAATATTCCAACATTCAAACAGGTTTTTTTCCTAAGCTCTTTATTCTTTGTGGATTTGTGTTTTTCAAAGAACTTGTCATTGGTGGCACCTTAATTATAGCACCTAAAGACTCTCCTATATTAACACTTCCTCCCATTACCTTGTTCATTTATTTAGTTTTCAAAAAGAGATGCTTTCTGCAAATCCCTCATGCTCCATTCTGAATTTTCATGACTTATTCAAATCCAAATAAGTCGTCATCAACACCCTTCCTTATCACTGCGTCCTCATTCATTCCCTTCCCATTAATAATGCAGCAGATGCAAGATGGCTTTTTGCGTCAAATTATATTCTATGCTTCTGACCAAAGTATTAGCCTCTACATCTCTGAACAAATGTAAGGGGTGTGTGTCACTATTCAATATCGAAAATGTTTGTCCTCTATCATTCGATTTACCCAAAGGAGATGATACACATCCCAGGCAATGAGATTCACAAGCATGTATACATATTAAGAGTCTTTACTACACAAGGAGGCTGCTTACACACAAGTCCAAATTATTATTTTTAATGTCATGGCAACATAATTTACATAACAACAGAGAGAAATCTCTGTTCAGAGGAACTTATCTAATTCTTGACAGTGTAGGTGACAAAATGAGAGAAGAAAGAGAAAAGGGCAACAACGAATGAATGTGAACTCACACTTTTATGCACATTAGTCCACATACCCATATGAAAAGAAAGTCAGGGAAAATATAATTTCTGTAGAAGAATTAGAAAATGGCAGGAAGGGACAACACACAAAATTTTTGCAAATCATCATAGGAATAAGGGGCAACAGAGAAAAATATTATTTCATTCTGTCTAAATATACCCTTTTCTTTTAAATGTGTGATAGTGTAGAAAGAACCATCCTGGGCAGAAAACAAGCAGAAGACATGTGCCCTTAAGTTCCACTTCATAGGAGACAATTCTGTCCTTACCTAGCTGGATCAGGATAGATCGGATGCTCCCGAGATCCTGCCCCGTCATAACGGGATAGCGAAATAAGAGAAGATTCCAGCAGCCTCCTAGGAAAGAAAACAAATAATTTAAGAAATTGGCAACATTAAGTCACCAGCACACCCCTGCCAATTCCAAAATCTGTACACCATGGCTTTTTTCTGTTTCTTTTTTTACCCCCACCCCTAGTGCTGTTTTTAGCATCCTACAGAGGCCTACAGCCTACAGAGTCCAAATTAATTTTGGAATAACTTCCATGACAGTACCGGGTTTTTTGGTCCCCTAAACTTCATGGTCATTATAGGAATGAGAAAGCTCCACTACAATTCAACTTTGTTACAAGGCACAGCCCAATTTTTTTCACTGAGTGCTGCCAGGAACATCCAGCTAAAAATGGAACCTTTATGATCCAGCCTTCATGTGAATGAGCAGCTCACAGATGCACCATCCTCTGCAGGCTATATTCACAGGATACCAAAAAGAGCACCAAAAGAAAAAGGGATAAGAAAGAAACAGGAAAAAAGCCACAAAGTATACAGTTGGGAATACTGAGTTAAAACAGATGCATTTTGGTCCTAGATACTATTTCAACAGTGCTGCTTCAGGTGTTTAAGTTTTCTGTACAGCTTCTGTTTTCTGCTGTTTACAGTAGCTTGAAAACAATGGGTTAGATCTCACTTAATACTGCAAGACAGGGTAGGTTCACCTATTCCCCTCTCCTACTGCAGATCTCTGATTCCCCTTCCTGCTGTTCCTGAGGGTCTTCGATCCCCCAAGAGCGGGGGAGGGGGGCATTTTGGACAGCAGCAGGTGGGAGAAGGAGAGAAAGTCATGCACTGTTGCAGAAATTCTTCCATCAGCAGTAACTTGCAGGTGGATCCCAGCTAGTATGTAGACTGTCACACTTGGAAACCACATACATAAGTTTCACTGCCCATGCACGACTAGAAAGTTGCTTTGGTGGAGACAATGCCTTCTCTGTCACATATGAATCCGACACAACATAAATGTACATATAATCATCATGTGCAGCTTTCTGCCCATGCCTTTCAACCTTTTTTTCCTGCATAGCTGTTGTTTACTGGGTAGGAAATAGATAATGGTAGGAGAAGGCCTCATTTTTTAAGAAGAAAAAGGGAAGAAAAGTCCAGTAATTATTCATATTATCTAATATTTCTTACTCACTTTCCACTAAGAGCTCAGAAATTTGCTAGGTTCCTTACTGACATATTATAATCCAAATATAACAAAACAAATTATTCCAGAATACTTTCACACAGGTACTTTCACTCTAATACTTTCACTCTTGAAGTAATAGCTTTTTAACATACTTTAAAGATTTGTGAAAACTGGCATAAAATCAAAATATTTCCTCCCACAGGAATCTCCCCAAGCCTTGAGATCTCTGTGAAAGCCTTTCTACAGGTAAGACTCAAGATATACAGGTGCCTTGGCTGTTCTTTCTTCACAAGAAATGCCAATGTTATGGAAAAGGATCTTCAGAGAGGTCTGTCAAGTTACCCAATTGTTTAGTTTTAAATAAATCTCTACACCCCTATTTTTTGCCAGATAATTCAAAAATGGTATTTTGAAATCTCAAAACCTGGCAGCAGAATTTATCTAACTTGTGTCTGTATGTGTACAAAGCACATATTGTTTATTTTGAGCTCAGAACATGATTTTTGCTGGGTGGGACAGTTTCCTTTTCTGAAAGGAAAATATTCAGTGTTTAATTTGAGTTGAGTGCTCACATTGGCACTTTGCTAGGAGGCAAATTATCTCTAAAAGATTCAGATAACAGTCTGTAGGTCCTCCCTCCGTGTCACAGTTACATGGTACTTGCTGAAACATAAGCGATTATTCAAATTGGTACACAGGAATTATTTGGGATTGAGCAACTTGCTCAGTTACTAAACAGCTTAGAAAATGTTTAACTTTAAGCTTTACAATTTATTATTAAAACAGATTTTCTAAACTAGGGGGGGGATTCAGCATTACAGGCAGACACAGACTCCTCAAGCAAACCTCATAGAAAGAGGGCGGGGGAACTGTAGGAATTCATGCAAGTTTAAAGAATAAGTGTTTGTCAACTGCTTACTGAGCTTTCCAAATTCAGCCTTCAATCAAACCCTAGTGGAAGTGCTGAGACTGTCACCCTCCTGAATTCAACATAACCCAGTCACAGCATGCCTGCGCCAAACCAGAGAGTAGAAATAAAAGACACTAGAGCCATCTTGTATCCATTAGTGAGTATTTAACTCCACAAGCCTTATGCTTTTTATAAAATACAGAAAGCAAGGCAAACCCTGAATAGCAGACTTCTCTGCACTCGCACAGCAGATTCCACATTTCTTCACTGCATGCCTGGATTTCGCAGTAATGAAGCTGAACTAGGCTTTCTTCAAACAACTGCATTTTCAAACCAGAACTGTGTTATGGCTTCCAAAGTTCACGATCTGTGTGTCAAACTACCACAGCTAGGAAGCATCCTCTTGCAGCCCTGGCACCAAGAGGAGGGGGTGAGGTGGGCATCCAGGCTAGAGTCCATCCATCATCCCCAACTAACTACTAACCCCGTATAGAGTTTACTTGAAATAATACACACTTACACATAGATTTCAGGAAAGTGGGAAAATAGGCCACAACTTTATTGATTACAGGTGTAGTATGCTTTGGCATAGCATGGGTGCCGGATCCAGTCCCTTGACTGGCCTCCTGCCGGTCAATAATCTGCTGTACACCTGGGGATGACAGGTCTCTGAATACCACAAGGGCAGACACCCTGAGGTGGTCTCCCCTGCCACCTGGGCGTGAGGGGAATCCCCGGGCATGCCCCCAGGCTGGGTGCACCCGATCCCCGATCTCAGGAAATAGGCACACAGGCCAGCTTTCCTGATAATGGATCCGACCCCACGTTGATACCACCAAGTTGTGACAAAGAATAAAATGACGTGAAACAAAATGCATGCAAAAAAAAACCTTTAACAAACTATGCCTAACTGAAGGGATGGGAGGGTGGGCCAAGTCGTCCGAAGCCGAGGAATGGCAAGTGGGATGGCACAGCCCCCTAAATATTGGCTGGGCGTTCCTGCCACCCAGATGCCCAAGACTCTGCTGACAGGACCAGCGATGGTCAGGTGAGTTCCAGTTTCCCACATCTGGTGCTGGCCTGCCCCCTCCAGCCAGCCCACCATGGACACTGTCTCTCTTCCCCTCCCCGCAGTTCTGCAAACAGGCCCCCAGGTGACTCACGGGCCCGGCTTTTGACTCCTAACACCACAACTCTTCCTCTAGATGATCTCGAATCAAGAACATCAACAAAAAATCTGCTTTTTGCTTTCATAAGAACACTGGTCAATGTAACAGTTCTTCAGTACTTGTTATCAAGAACAGGATTGCTTGATCATATCAGGAGTTCACACATTTACATTGCTCACAGTCAATTTTTAAAATCAAAATTTGAAGTTCTCCTCTCTGAAAGAATGCCTTAACCAGACCAGTTATCACAATTGCTCTGCTGATAACCTTTAGCTCAAACTGACTGCAGTCACACTAAACATTTAAAGAAACACACACACCAAAACAAGAAATCATTACAGATACTATCCGGGAACTGTTGTAATAATTGCCAAGACAATTTATATAAAGTACTTTGACCCTGACGTGCACTATATAAAATTTTAATCACCAACATGGTCTCACAGAAACAGACAGGAAGTGGACCATATCTCTAGGATTAGGTACAAGGTTTCCAATCTACGAGTGGGAGCTGGAGTTCAGTTCCCCTGGAGGAAATGACCACTTTGGAGGGTGAATTCCCTCCCCTCTCCAAATTCTTGTTCTCTCAAGGCACCACACACCCCAAATCTCCAGCAAATTCCCAGGCTGAACTTGTGTCAGTTAACACTGCCATGTCTTTGGAATGTGTGGGGAGTGATCCTCCTTCCTGGTACACTAACAATGTCTCCTGTCTGGGTTGTTATCTGTGTATGCTTTTCTGACCTTGGGCTTCCAACTGCTCCTAACCTGCTGGGAATGAATGGCTCACTTTTCTCCTGCTCACTTTCTCCCCCACGTGCGGCACCATGCACAATGCTTATTGGCTTATGCTTGTAATGGGGGATGCTTTGAAACTACTATAACTTTGGGTGCCCTGCTGCTTTGGACCATTCCTGACAAAATACGTTCAAGTGTCATAGTTATGAACTACCAATAAACAGAATACTTCTTATGAAGCGCTGTATAGTATGATCTGACTATAGAACCTGACAAATTGTTAGGAATCATCTTCCCCTCGAACCGTATCTCTCTTAACCAAGATGAGCGACGGCGAGGAAGAAACAAACCCAGTGACAACTGAGGGGATTGTGCGGGACCAATGCATGAAGCAAGGTTTGTGCCAGAGATGTGGCGAAGCAGGTCACTTTGCTGCCGCTTGCCCGGGAGGGGGAGCCCCGACGGTACCCAGGAAGGAGCCAGAGAAGAAGCCAGTAGACACCCCAGCACAGAAGAGTGTGGCCCAGCCAAAGTTCCAACGGGCGCTGCAAGCTGAAGTTCCTGCGAAGGAGCTACTTACGAGTAGCGATGAAGAAGACAGGCCGGTGGGAAAAGGGCAGGACCTGCTGTGAGCGGCACAGAGCAGCAGGTCCCTACTCCCGAGGCGCCTAGGACGGTAAGCAATTATCCCCCCCTCTTCTTTGTGACTGTGACTATAATGAATCCCAAACTCGGGACTCATGTCTGGGTATGGGGTCTGATAGACTCTGGGTGTGGATGGGACTTAATCAACCCTTCCCTGGTTATGGGGCTGGGAGCCAAGGTAGTGAAACCCCAGGACTCCATTGTTTTTACCCAGATGGATGGGTCGGCTATGAAAGAACCTTGCAAGTATGAGACTGTGCCTTGACAGGTTGGGGCAGGAGGCCATTGGAAACACCGACAGTTTGTCATTTCCCAAGCAGCGGGATTTCCCCTGGTACTGGGCAGCCCATGGCTATACGACCACGACCCGTACATCCTATGGAACGAGGGCAAGGTCCAATTTATCTCTCTCAAGTGTCAGGCTCAC